TTTTTAGAATTTTTTTAAAAATCCACGGCTATTGATAAACCTAAGAAAATATTTTTAAAAATCCACGACCAAAATTATTTTTTTTTAATTTCGCCCAAAAGTCGTATATTTTTTTTTAATAATATTTTGAATGTAATTATTGGATGGATTTTTGCACATAAGGCCACATTAAACCTAGATTTGAAGAAAATCGACGAAGATATAGCTTTAGCGGCCATAAATAAGTTTAAAGCCGATTTGACTTTAAAGCTACTTGATTTCCCTACACCAAATCTAGCTTAATGGTTCGATTACTTCTACATAACCCTGGTTTGAAAGAATCAAACTTTTTTTTGAAATAGTTAACAAGATGCTGATGGTAGGCATCTATTAATAAAAAAATATTTCTTAAGTTTTTCGAGGAATAGAACATCGTTTAAAGGCCTCTGCAAGCGCCCTCGTGGTTAGCATTTTGAAATAGTGCTTTGTCACGCAAGAAATAAATGCAGGAAACTTCTGGTATATAATAAAAGTAGAGGTAGAAATTTTCCAAAAAAAAATATAATTATTATTTTCTGTGTCTAAAAACAAAAAACTTAGGACACAAACTTGGAAATATTGAATTATGAATTTTTTACCTCTTTTTTTCAAGAGTTATAGAATAATGAGTTCTAAAATACAATTTTTTGCCATAATTTGACATATTTTTAACAGTACAAAGTTAAATTAAGTTATTAAATTAAGTTATATGACAGTTCTCCTCTTTAGTTGTTTCAAATTCATTTAGAAAATTTAGAAATGACTCTATTTTCTTTTCTTAAATTTTAGAAAAAATTAGAAATTACTCTGATTTCTTTTCTTAGATTTTATAAAATTAAAATCCACATTTTTCTTTGCCATTCCAAAAATAAGAATATTACCAAAAAAATTAACACATGTTATATGTCACATTACCTTATTGGAAAGATACATCAAATCCCATGCAGATTTAAAAAAAGACAAAAATTAAAACACATTTTAAATTCACTGACATCAAAATCACCCAATGGATTTTCAAACGCCCTATTATTCCATAAAAAATGTAAGCTATCAATAAAATATGCACAATAACGCATAGCTTCATCCTAATTCAATGGACGTACGCTAACAACAAATAAATAAAATAGAAAAAAAAAACATAATTAAAATGCCACTGAACTAAATATATGTTAGCAAGTTTATGCGACAGCGAAAAAAACACATCAAACAATACATAAATAACCGGCAATAATCAGTTTACAATAAGCGAGTAAGCGACTGGCTTGTGAGTGCCATCCGTAGACAAAATATTACTAGAAAATTCCAAAAAAAAAATATGAACGTCATAATAATCGATGCAAAGCAAACATGCATTGCTCAACAACACAAAACCTTGACCCACAGTCCTTTTTTTATTTTTCGGTGGGAAGAAGAAATTTTTGAGAAATCTGAAAAAATTTTGTGTTGCTGAAGATGCATGGGTTGTTTGTAGATTTTAACTTCGACAGATTTGATTTTGGAAAATGTTAAACTATTTTATCGAATTTTCTTACAAGACAAAAGACTTAAGAAACAAACGTTTTGTTTTCCAAGAATAAAAAGACAAACACGAAATTATAATTCACTTTTTTGGAGAAAATTTTTATTTTATTTTTCTCAAACAAAAGACTTAAGGCACGAACGTGAATGTTTAAAATGATAAAAATTTGATTTAGATTCTCATACAAAATCCCCCATATATTGATGTTTGTTGGCAACTTATAAAAAGAGTTTAATCTATAGCATTCTCTAATATTTTCTTTGTATAAAATATCTTTAAAATACCTTCTGTCTTTAGAAGACCTGAATCTGAATCTTTACATTTAGGGGGACAAGGAAACTTCTACTAAAATACCTTCTTGGTTGAAATCACAAAAGAAGATACACAGATTTTAGGTAAATTCTAAGCTCTACACCATTTCGGGTTTTCATCATTTTGAATAGGCAGATTTTAATGGTGACCCCTTTCAATCAATCGTAATTTAAAAAAATCCACGACTACTCAACGATATTTTTAGTAAATCCATGGATACTAATAGGTCAAAGACCCACCCTTTATGGGTCATAAAAATAAATAAATATATTTGTTTTTTAAATTCATGACCGTTAATTTTTACACCCTCAGCCATATGGCTACAGGGTGAGATAAAAGACTGCGAGAAACTCAAACGCCATAATTTTTACATTTTTTTAAATTTTATTGAATGAAAGCAAAAAATGTCGGAAATAGCATCAAATTTTCGAATAAGTTTAGATTTATTCGAATTGGTCAACTTTGCCACGAATTATGGCCTTCAAACGGCCATTGAAACCGTCACACGCTGCCCAAATGTTGGTCTGCGGTATTTTGGCCCATTCCCTGCGAAGCGCTTGCTTGAGGTGATGGACACATTGGTATTTTTTAGTGCCAACCTTGCTTTCCAAAATACTCCAGACACAATAGTCCAACGGATTGGTACCCGGATATTTTTGTGGCCATTGTGCGCTGGAAATGAAGCTGAGTCCTGTTAGAATGTTCAAGGTTTGCGGCCAAAATGTTTGCGTGCCCACGGCTTTAATACACCCTCCAGAATATTTTCGCGATAATATTCAGCATTTATTCTGATGCCACGGTCGACTAATACGAGCGGAGAGCGACCGTCGGCTGTTATGACGGCCCACAGCCAGCGCTTGAGTTCTGGTGGCCAACCGAAGGTGCACATTTTCAGCTGACCTCTTTGGCAAGTAAACACAACGAATGTTTTCTAATCGGAGAAAGCCAAATTAGGCAGTTCACCACTTTCGGCAAAGCGAAGCAACCGATTAGCTCTTTTGAGTCTATTTTCTTTCTGTTGCGGTGTAAGTTCTTGCACTTTTTGGAATTCCAATGGCTCTATTCCGAATGGAATATTGCGATATGTTCAGCTCACGAACCATTTTTCGGCCACTGCGAAGGGGGTTTCGATCGAGTCGCTTCTTTACTTTTCGAACCATTTCTGCTGATGTTGCTGTTTTCTTCCGTTCACTTCCTTGACGTCGGGCTACGCTACCAGTATCGGGGCAACGAGCGATCATACGAGATACAAAAAAATTATTCACATTTAAATGCTGGAGTGCTCCAACGATTGCCAATTGTGGTTTTCCAGCCAAATATAAAAATATCACACTATCACGCTTGAATTCCATCACGAATAACATTTTTTCTGGAAAATTCCCACCAACATGCTTTTGTACGCTTGTAAACAATTTAAGGAACTGTCACTGGAATAATTTTAACAGCTATCGGATGAGTGTCTTAGAAATGACAGCAGTCCGAAGTTGGTTGCAGTTTTTTCATCTCACCCTGTATACCCTCTCTAGCCATATGGCTGAGGATTCAAGATTTTGTAAACGAAACGCTCCAAGTGAAATAAACATCCAACTCTCTTCAAATTTCACACATACAAATATTTTTGCTAACACAAGATCTGTTGTGAAGATGATATATATCTGCGGACCACTTGTGGGACCTTCCCCACAGAGGGTCACAATTTTCAATAACTTTATTAAACAGAACTTGCGAAACGAGTCAGAGATTCTTTAAACCTTGCTTTTTCTAAATATTTCATTCAACCATAAACCAGACAGACGGATGGACGGACATCGCTAGATCGACTCCAAATGTCCTGAAAAAGATTTGGTCCAAAGAGACATAGGGTCTAAACCCGTTACTTCGATGAGGCATGGAGGGTGATATTTACCCTCTCTAACCTTATGGCGGAGGATATAAAATCGAAAGACTTAAGCCACAAACGTGAATATTTAAAATGGTAAAATAACGTCTACGACTACTCAAACATGTCTTAAAAAAATCCATGACTATTGGTAGGCCACTCTGGTTGGGCCCTAAAAATATTTTTTAGAAAATTTAAAAAAAAAATCACAACTAATTAAAGATTTTTTTTAAAACATCCAGTACTATTAATAGGCTAAAAATCCACTTCTTATGTACCCTGAAAATATTTTTAAAATTAATTTCTTTAAATTTCATTAATTTTTTTTAAGTTCACGGCTTTCCACATTTCAAAAAAAATCTATTGAAATATTGATCAGATACTGATATCTGTCGGCAAAAAATAAAAATGCTTTAAAAAAATCATCAATCCAAAATTTTTCTCTCTAAATAGCACCAAAAGATCTTCAATTTTTTGAAGACATAAATCATCACCAAAATTTCGGGTCAATTTCCAGTATGGGACTTTTCACCATTTTTGCAATATTTAAAAAAATGATTTACAACGAATTCCCTTGCATTGACAACAACATTTTAGCTTTTCGGAAATTGTTGCACAAATTTACATGTTTTTCTCATATTTTTTGCAATTCCAATGAATAAATCAAAATCTTACAAAATCCCAAAACAAAAAATCTTAACCTTGATAAAACCGATTGACCTGACTCCGCAACATGTAGGCTCATCATATTTTTACAAAGCCATGTCATTGGGAATATTCCAAAAGATCTTTTTTATGTAAATTCATATTTTTTGTTTTTATTTTAGATGATTTGACATTTTTTTGGGCAAAACAAAAGACTTGAGCCACAAACTTGAACTTATCAAAAGGGCCAAAATAACCTTCAATTAATACCCATCGCCACTACCACCACCGCAAATGCAAATGCACTGTGGCAGGTGTCAAGCAGGGGTAATGAGTCAGCCATTTTTGGATCATTCGAAAAGTCAACAAAACTCAATCCAAACCCACACAAAATCAACAAAAGAAGAAGATCACTACTTTGTTTGGCAAAGTCAAGGGACCCAAAACTGAATTAAAAGAAATGCAAATAAAAGCGAAAGTAAAAGTTTTTTTTGGAAACTTCACAAATCGAAAAAAGTGTCAATGAAATAAACACACACGCACATTTGAGGTACCTCTTCTCCTCCCCCTCCCGCCCAAAAATACAGTTAAACATTTCAAAAAAAAAAAAACATAAAAAATACAAACCGGCATTTATTATCAAACAGCTGAGCGCCAAGGCAAAAATCCATAAATTCCGGAATTTTGGAATGACAGCAACGGTATCCGCACACATATCTGGCTAATAATTCAGCGGGCTTTTGATCTCTTTTCTCTTATTTTTTGGGGTGTAAATATTGAATAGAAATGGAAGGGGGCTGACTGTTGGATAACAGTTCAGGTCAGAGGATTTTCAACATTAATTAGCAGTTATTGGCTAAATACCAAAACAGTATTGGAAATTTAAAGAATTTTTGGTTTTTTTTTTTTTTTTTTGCCGCTGCAATGGCCTTTAACTTGTTTGGCTTATTTGGCTGGTATTGACTTTTTTTGTGGTTGTTGTACCGCCGTTTTTGGTATGCCACTCAGTTGTTGTTATTATGTAATCAATGATTTTTTGTTTTTAAATTTAACGATTCTGTTATTATTTTCAATTTTTTATATCAATTTATTTTTTAAAAGGCCAAGGTTTTACAACAAACTTTTGAACTTCTTCTTTTTTCCACTTCTCTCTTTTTTTAAATATTATTATTATTATTTTTTTTTGTTATAAAGTTATTTATATATCTTTTTCAAATTAATTGTGTTAATAGCCGCTCAATCTTGTTTTATTTTCGACTTTGTGCCTTTTCGTGCTTTTTTAAGACACCAACAACTATTTTGCACCAAAACCAACAATTTGTTGTTTCTTTTAATTTTTTTTTCTTAACCTAAACCATTGGCACACACTTTGCTGTTGTTACTTTTCCATAAAATATATTTCGTTTTGGTTTTCTTTAAGTTAACGTTTCGTTGAATTTTTTTTCGGTGATTGCTTTTTTCCGTCTTCCGTCTGTTGCGTTTGCGCGCTCAAGTAAATCTGCCGTAAATCGAACTTACAACTTTTGCTTTCATTCAGATGCAGTTCCACGGGAGTCTAGTGGTGGAGAGATATTTAAACATGAGAGAGAAAAATGGAGAGGGAGAGAGATACGATGAGCTTAAGTGCTGCAGAGATTTGTAAAACAGTGATGCCAACCATTATACACTACTTTACGTTTTAAGTAACGTAAACGACAAAACAAAAGACTTAAGACACAAACCTGGCTTTGAATAGATGTAAGACATTGTTGGACTTTTCTAAAGAGGCAAGACCATTTATCGGGTTTTTATAAATAAAAATATATTTTAAAAGTTTTTTAAAGATAAAACAGCCTTTGCGATAATTGTTTTTTAATTTTCAATAGAGAAACTCACTTTTATGGTCCTCTGTAAGCAAATGTCTTTCGAGACCTTCAATGACATTAAAATATTTTCTATTTTTAAACCTGGTCGTCTCGAAAACAGCATCACTTACCGAATAATGAGGAGTATTGTATTCCCAAAAAGTATAAAGAAAGCTCTTTCCAAAAACTTTTGTGCCAATTGGAAGCAAGCCAGGGAAAATGATTTTGGAGGAATAATGTATACTATATTCCCACGAAATCGTCCCTATTCTTCAGAAAAAACGCAAAAATACCACAAAAATCCTTCAGACTTCATTCATCGAAATTACGGGTCAATTTCAAGTATGGAAATTTTTACAATTTTTTGAAATGTTTCAATAAATGTTTCAAGAAATACAACGAATTTGCTTGCGTTACGAATATGTTTTAGCAGCTCTTCTAAGAGGCAAGACCTTTTATCGGATGCTACAGATAGAATTTTTTGAAGTTTTCAAAAGATAAAAAGCCTTTTCAATAATAATTTTCAAATGTTCCATAGAGAAACCCCAATTCACGGCCCTATAGACAAATGGCTTGCGATGACATTAAAGACTTATTGAATTTTAATAGATTTTCTTATAAAATTCTCCATTTTTTGATATCTGTCTTTTCGAAAACTATTTTTTTTGAGGTGTCCTAAAGTACATTTTTTTCAAAGCCCTCTACAACAGGGTTTTACATTTTTCGAGTGTTTTTACACATATGGAAGATATTTACGAGTTCTTTAAAAGATTTAATTGGGTGTGATTGTAAATTCGATAGTTAAGGCAGCAATTTTGAAGAACATTTATAAAAAGAGCTTATGGGGTTCGTTTACTTTTACTTTTCAGTTCTTCCATAAAAGAAATTGTCTTTTCGAGTCCATCCATAAATAGCAGACCTTTTGAAAATCTATCATATGCAATACCTGTTTGTGGTTTTCAATTAAAAAATGTCTGTGAGGCGTTCATTAATATAACGCGTCTTTTTAAAATGTTTAATCCTGACAAAAATGACTTCCTAACCAAAATTATTAGATTTCTAAACATTTTTTTTTGTACATCCTCAGCAATTATCGTTAATTTTTAAGAAATTTGTTTAAGGACCTCCTCCGAAAATCTTGGATTTTAAGAAAACAATTTAAGAAAAAAATGAATCTCCAGACGAAAATATTGGATTTTCAAAAACATTTTGCAAGGCCTAAAAACTGAGATTTATTTTAAAATCCTTTTCATAGAAAACCCGACCAAGACTCGGAAATTAAAAAAAAAAAATAGTCTCGAGGACATTTTAAGCGAAATTATAAATTTGTTAAAGAACTTCCTGACCAAAAATTTTTATATTTCTTTCAGAAATTTTCTTCAAGAATCATCAGTCGATACCGAATATTTTTTAAAAAGCCCTTGTTAAGAATATGCTGACCGAAAATAGTAGATTTAAAAATAATTTCTGGATTTTTTTTTTTTTTTTTGAAAATCTTTTATTTTTGGAGACATAAAATCTTTTATTGTTTAAGAAAGCTTTTCAAAGACCTCCTTCCCGAATATTGTGGTTTATGAAGAACATTTTTACTGACCTTCAAGAACTTTCTCTTAACGGCTATTTTTTAAACATTTTCCTTCCATTCAATTTGGTTTTCTCCGATGAGAAAACATTCGTTGTCCAGCAGTTTGTAAACAAACAAAATTATCGTGTTTACTTGCCAAAGAGGTCAGCTGAAAATGTGCACCTTCTGTTGGCCACCGAAACTCAAGCGCCGACCATGGTGTGGGCCGCCATAACAGCCGATAGTCGCTCTCCGCTCGTATTAATCGACCGTGGCATCAGAATAAATGCCGAAAATGAGGTTCCTCACTTCACTTCCAGCGCACAATGACCACCGGATACCAATGCGTTGGACTATTGTGTCTGGAGTATTTTGGAAAACAAGGTTGGTGCTAAAAAATACCAAAGTGTCGATCAACTCAAGCAAGCGCTTCGCCTGGAATGCGCCAAAATATGGCAGAACAACATTAAGGCAGCTTGTGACGATTTCATTGACCGTTTGAAGGCCAAAATTTTTGCCAAGGGTAACCAATTCAAACAATTCTAAACTTATTCTAAAATTTGATACTTTTTCCGACATTTTTTGCTTTCACCCAATAAAATTAAAAAAAAATGCAGTTTTTTTATCCCACCTTGTATATTAAATAGGGGCTGTTCTGTTAAGACTTTTTTTAGGCCCCAACAAATATTAGAAACATAAAAGACTAGCTGGCCCGGTCCGCGTTGCCGGCCCCTACTTTTAGTTTTTAATGCATATTTTTTAAGGCATTATAGAACACTGATCTGAATGATTTCAAAATAGTCAAAGATAATTGGTCTTTTACACCCATTACCTTAAGATAGGAATTAATTTATTTTTGTCATTTAAATTGTGTGTTGGAAAACCCATAAAGTCCATATTTTTCTTCATAGTATAATTCAATAACGATCCAAAAAATAATATTCGTGATTTTTTCATGTTTCTGCCACAATTTGATATTTCGGAGTTCAAAGCATGTAGACGTACATCCCACTTCTACGTTCCCAGCCAATATTCTCTTGAGAGTTAAAAATTCAATAGTATACCAATTTTTTTTTTCTGACCAAACATTGGTTAGGAATGTGGATTTGCGGGTACACTAATGTGGGAACTATACTTAATAAAATGCCTATGTGGACAATTATCTGTAAGACGATTCTCTATCCCAGAGTAGCCTAAATACAATTTTTTAGCCAAATCAATTGATGAATGTGATCAAGACCAAGATGGACTCTACTCCAAAAGTCAAAATATTATGAGAAGAGGTTTTTTACACCCGTAGAAACAAAGATGTCAAATAAAGGCCTGAAAAATGAAAGAAAAATGTCGAAAACCCCGAATATAGCTTAAATTATATAATGGTTATACCAAAACGTGATCATATTTTGCGAGGATGGTTTCTTCTCAAATTACCAACTTTTGCTAAAATGCGTATGAGTAAAATATGGTTAAAATGTAAACTATACTTGAAAAAGGAGTGTACCCTTATCCGGGGGTCATATATCGTGACCTGCAAAAGCGATTTAAGATATCTTGAAAGTTTTTTTTTTTCCTAAATGTCCAATTCGCTCTACCATTTTGCTCCAATGAATTGCATTTTGAGTTCTCATTGGGCGGATTATTGTAATATGAAAGAAATAGGTTCACATATAAGGGTTATACCAAAGCATGGTCCTATTCTTATAATTATTTGAAAAAATGTGTTGTTCTTCTTAAAATCTCAAATTACCAACATTTGATATACATCTGATATATATTTTTAACAACTGATTATTCATGAAACCCCTAGGAAAAATTTAAAACTCTATGGTAACTTTTGCGAAGTATAGAGCAAAATATTTGAGGCCCTTTGTGTTTGGTTAAACTATATAAAATGGACCCTAAAAACGTTTGATCCCCCCTTTTTGGGATTGTTATGTACCAACCAAACTGACTACTGATGATAGCGCATAGTCACCGTATAACGTTTCATGGGAGTTAAGGTTACTTTTAAGGTTTCGGAAGAATTTTCCGAGGAAATGTATCCTTTTCTTTCCAAATTTTCAATTTGCTCCACTATTTTATATAGTTCGCATATAACAGTGCTCTTCATATTCGGTATTTCACTGGTTGCAGTCCCAATGAATTTTGCATTTTAAGTTCTCATTGGATGGATTATTTCCATATCTAGTCAATTTCCATTGAATTTTTTTTTCGATTTTTCCCGATTTGAGAATTTTTGCCATGAGATCTCTTTTATCGTGTTTTTTAGCGATTTTGAAAAAGTAATTATCTTTTAACATTGGTCTAACCGCGTTAAGTTGTTTCGATATCATTTGACTGACTTCCATGCAACCCGCCATCAATTTCAGTTCTCAAGAAATCAAGTCAATTAAATAAATTGGTATTAATATTCGAATTAAAAAAAATATAAAAAAACACTACAAATGTACATTAGAAAAAAGTAAGTCAAAATGGAAAAAAAATCATGCAAAATAAAACATTACTATTGTACATTTCAAAAGTCAAAATGAAAATTTTAATATATCACATTTTTACGCGATTTTTTTGAATATTATCCTTTTCGGAAAAGAGACAATTCCGAATTTGTATGAATCGTTAAAATCGGATCAGCAGATCTTGAGTTATAAGCGTAGTAACTAACACAACTTACATTTATATATATATATATATATATATATATATATATATATATATATAGATAGATTTGTTTTTGTTTTTTTAAGGAATATTTTTCAAATTTCAACAGAAAAAAGCAAACAGTTTGTGAAAGACGATCCCAGCTGTACCACATGGAGTTTGAAGAGTATTTTGAAGCCAATTCCTAGGCTGACCAACGTGAATTTTTAAATTTTTGTTGTATGGCTATTCTACCTTTACAAAGTTGATTTGATATTCTTAAGGACTAAGAGAATCAGGTAATTTTCTCATATAATTTCTCTAAGGACATATTTTAAACATATTTTTAGAACTATTAGAGTATTGATTATTTGGTTCATAGATTTTTGGTAAAGTACTATTAAGACGTAGATTTCATAAATTATTTTTTTTTGTTAAAAAGTATGGACAAATTTTACATCTTCCAAGGTCCA